AATCAACATAAATAAATATTGGGTTAGTAATCAATATCTATACCAAATAAGAAATCAAAGATGTATGTAACTGTTAGGTTGAGAACTAGAAGCAGACATGGAGCAAATAGTTCGTCGCGAGGGTATATCGCGCAGTTGAGGCAAAGGAAGAAGATGAACAGTAAAAACATTAGAGGAAACATTTTTTCTTTCGGCGAAGAGGAATGAGTAATAGTTATATTTAGAAACTCATGCTGATAACGTGTTATAAATATGTCAAAGTTAGAGATATAACCCTTTTAGTGAATAGAATGAAGTAGGTGTAAAATGTCACACTGAAAAACGATAGCACAAGAGAATAATAAAAGATGGAGGAAGAGATTTCTTTCTCTTTGTTTTCTCCTTATATTTTGATTGCAGTCGAGTGCTCTATTTATAGAGCAACTCGTATTACTACATTTGAAATCTACAACACCCTTTTTGACAATATGATATCCTGCATCCCCCAAAGTCAGTTTTCAATTTGTATGGACATTGAAAACTTCTACCAATACTGGAAAACTTCTACCAATGGACTGTGGGCATTCATTACCCACTGGCATTTTCAACAGCTATAACATAAGTGGATATCTGATGTGGTAATTACACTAGTCTTACTAGAAAAGTTTCTCATTATTGCGTCACGTAATATCACAGACTCACATGGCTTAAATATTTCTTCATATTAATTAATTATTTCTCCTAACTCGCCAAACAAACAGGTGGACGAGCACAACAAAATTGTTAAGGTGGAGTTTTTCTATGACCCTGGACAACTTCTTGGAGGTCTTTTGAAGGGTGCGAAATTGGGTACTTCTTCCGAAGAGACAGCTTCAAGCTGCCCGGTCCTGAGGAGCACAGGGTAGCTTAGTAACTCATCCATAAAAGATAATTGTATTGCTAGCCAATCAATAATTTATGCCCTTATTAGGACAAAGCCTAGCTATATATATTTCGAATTTTTATTAAGCTGTTTTATATGGAAATATCAGTGAAGTACTTGTGCAATGTTTCAAAGAAAAATAAAGAAGCTCTGCATGAATGCTAATGCTTTTTTTGATTTTATATGCATCAACCGAGCGATAGCAGCTGCATACTCACACGTCTACAGATTGACCAAAACTCTATAATTATCCTCTTTGTGATACGAGAAAGATTTATATAAAACGTGTTTATTATTACTTGACTTTTTTTTATCTACTAATGCTATAATATATACAAGTTTTTCTCTAAATAAAAATATATTATTGAATCAAGGTGTCTCATAACAGTGAAATTGTTTTATGTAATTGCTTTCACTGTACCTAGGACATGCAGAAGCAAGGGTGGTGGTTTTGCCACCTATAGTTAAGATAACTATCTGTGCTGATGCCAAGAGGGCACGTTGACGAGCAGCGGATCTTTTCTTTGCTCAGTAACGCAGGACGGACTAAAAAAAGGAACCGACTTTGTTATTTACTTGGATAGTCAAAGAAGCAAGAATTAATAAGAAGAAATGTATGAAAGAGAGAGAGGAAACACTCCGTATGTATAGTTTTTTAATCAATATGTCAGAACAGTTTTTTTATAAGGAAATTTAGTAAACGGTCAATAAATTTTTTATTAATGAATCATATATCAATAGTTAATTTTTATTTTGAACTTAATCAATGAAATATTTTTGTTAATTAAATATAGGTCAATGAGGAATGTTACATGGGTTTCAAGCCCATATAAATAGTTATAAAATTACTTTTTTGCCCCAAATTAAATCATAAAAAGGTTTATGATCATCCCTCTAAAAATCTTCTCTTTTCTGTACATGAAAATAACCCAAATCTCTCTCTCTCTCTCTCTTGTTGATGAATCAATACAAACCATGAATCCATAACTGAAACCTAGCAATAAAAATCTCTCCCTCTCTCTTTCTCTCTCATTGATATATGAATCAATACAAGCCATGAATCTATAATTGACAGGCCATCAACGTTCAAGTTGATTTTTTGGGTTTTTTTGTTGGGTTAGAGGTTTGGGATGGAGAACGAAAGACAAATTGGTTTTCGACATGGTTTAATTGAAGCCCAAATCAAATACTGCATAAAAAACATAACTAGAAAACGGACATTGCATTTTAGTGTCTGAATCAAAATGTCAAAAAAAAAAAAAAAAAAAAAAAACAGAGTCATGAAATGAACACTGCAATGCCGTGTCTGAATCCAAATGTAAAAAAATATAAAAATAGAACTAGGAAATGGACACTGCAACACAACGTCTGAATCCAAATGTGAAAAACAGAATAAGGAAACAGACATTGCATTGCAGTGTCTGAATTCGTATTGACCTATTCCAAAACTATAAAAATATGAGAAAGAGTGTGTCAGTTCAAGTGGGTGACAACTGTAGTGGCAGATTTTATAATTGTTGTTTATTTTAAATGCATTTAAGTATCATAATAAATGATTGACGTATTTATAATTAACATAAATATTGTTGATCTATTGTCAATATTGTAACTTTTTATTGATTTTATACAAAATTACCCTTTTTTATATGTACGTAAGGTTAAATCCATAAAGAAAATAAATTCATGCTAACAATTTGGGAGAAGTCAAAGAAAGAAGCTTTAAATTATAAGAAAACTAATAAAAAGAGCTTCAAAATTTTGAGTTTTAATAAAAAATTATCCTATAACTTTATTTCATGATAAGGACAAGAAAAAGAAAAAGAAAAAACCTAACTAAAGGTGGGTGCAAAGAGCATCCAACCAATCTTTCAGTTGCATAACCCTTTTACATAATCTAAGCATATTTTATTTCTCTAAAATTAAAAATTCAAATTGAAGTGGGTTTCGTTCGATTCAGAACCACATTTGGGGTGGTATAGTTGGGAGGGAGTCAGTCAGGTGTAGGTTAGGATGGTTGGGGGTTAGGGGTGGAGCAACATCATTGACAACATTGTTGGACTCATTACCCATTTTTCTAGTAATGGTATTGAGCTATTAGCCATGCATGACTTTAATGGCGTGGACATTAATCTCTATCATCTTTTTATTCATTTATTTTTTATTTTTATATGTATATTTTTTTTTAATCTTTTTATTGCATTATAGTGAAAGAACTTGAAAATCCGGGACAAGCATCTACCGCTAAATTTCATACACAATGTAGTATCATTAAATTTCATTAATAGTGTAAAAAATTTCAGAAACAATTTCGTACCATTAAGTTTCATAAACAGCGTAGTAAGTTTCATAAACTGTGTAGAAAATATCATAAACAATGTCGTACCGTTAAGTTTCATAAACAGTGTAGAAAATTTCATAAACAGTGTCGTACCGTTAAGTTTCATAAACAACGTAGTATCGTTAAGTTTCATAAATAGTGTATTAAGTTTCATAAACAATATAGTACCATTAAGTTTCATAAACAGTTTGTGTGAGGGGCGCGCAGGTCCTTGTGTTAATTTTTTTAAAATTTTTAAAATTATGTCTTTTTCATTAATATTTAAGTTTTTTTTGTCCTTTTTATTAAAATTTAAGAGTTTTTCATTAAAATTTAAGTCTTTTCCATTAAATAAAGTTATAGCATGGTTTTTTTTTTTTTTTATTAAAATAAACTTAGTCCAAGCCATTTTCATGAAAGTTCACTTAAATTGTACTAGTCACTCTGCACGCGCATACGAGAGGCATTTTTGCATCACATGCGCTACACACCTCACAGATGTGTTGTTTTAGATATTCTCATATTTCTTAAGTGATTATTTTATAAATTGTGGGTGTGTGTCCATCACAACAATTTCTTATTATTTTCAATCACAAGGTCTTTTTGCACCCGCCCACTGTACACAAAAAATGAAATTTATAAATTGCACACTACCCACTCCACATTTTTTTTTTGGCTGATAGAATTTGGTTTCAAGAACTGAACTATGCTTGGTCATTATTATATCACTTTGGTAATTTCTGATTAAGAAAAAAAAAAGTTAATCAGTGTAGTTAAAATTCTTTTATATCCATCAGTATCGTTTTACCCATATATATTGTACAGGTAAAGAAGAAATCAAGAGTTAGGTTCCTTAAAATCAAGAGTTTGGTTCCTTAGTCAATAAGAGATTAAAAATGGTGGATTTCATTTTCGTTTACCATGATAATGGTGTTATCGTTATGCATGCCATATTGGCATATTGCCACGTTCGTTGAAGAATTTAGCATCCAATTTGCATAGATGTGAGTAATCTCTCATACAATTTTTACTAATTTTCCTTTAAAACAACAACGAAGATAAAATAGTAAAACAGAAACTGTGACAATCCGTCTTTAATTTTACGATTTTATAAATTTTAAAACCATGAATTGACAAAAATGCCCTAGATGCTAGATGAGTTATTACTTTACCGTACTCTTGAAGTACTCAACGGTACTAACGTGTAGGTGCAACCAGAATCGAAATTAGAGCCACGATGAAGATTTTACATGACTACGAATCCGAGAAATACTTTTGTGAAAAATTAATATTTACTATTGTATATATAATTTTTTGAAATTATTATATTATTATATTATTATTTTAACATTTTCTGTTTGGATATTTTGAATATTTATTAATTTAGATTTGACCCGTGGGGCCCACACATGCCAAAACTCCCCACTCTCTCCTTGCCATGTTTCCTCTCCTCCACCACAAACCGGGACTCTCTCTCCTTTCTATTCTCTCTCTGTCTTTCTCACTCTAGCACTATCATTTCTTTATACAACCACCAGCACCGAGATTGGAGCTCCACCATCACCATCACCCAAACCAAGAGCACCACGAGTTTCGTCTCGTCCTCACGAACCTAGAACACCCAACCTTACCTCGAACTTCCTTCTGGATCGTCAGGATCGAAACCCAAGTTGAGTTGTGACCTTTTGTCAGGCCCTGGACCCAGGGTCGGTGAAAAAAAATAAGACCTCGCGCCTGGAACGCGAATAAAAGTAAAAATAAATAAAAGAAAATTGACACGGGTTGGAAAATGAACTCCTCTTATTAAAATAACTCTAAAATTCTTACAGGGTGTACAAAAATAATAGATTAAAATCTTTAAAACCCTTATCTAACACAACCTCAGCTCGTCTATCACCTGTCTTGCCAAATAACTCATCTGAAAAAATAATAGGTGAGGGGTGAGCAACAACCACCGTCGCTCAGTGAGTAGAATATGTAATATGCCAGTCAAGCTTGCCATTTTAATCACACTATAAAATAAAATAATAATATCAAAGCTTTAGCCACATAATTCCATATCACATCGTCCCTTCACGTGTCCATATCCTTCATAAATTGTAACTCACCACATGACCCCTAATGGTCATTCTGCCCTAATGTCCCCGTGTGTAGTTTACATTTATCCCTCGGATTAATGCAACACCAAAGTTCTTATGCTCCATGAACATCTCAAACAATTCACTGATCATATATATAATAACTCTGAAAGTACTTCACAAAATCCAACATGCTTAACTTGAAATAGAGATATATTTAAAAATAGCTCAAAACCCATGATATCTCATGGTTTTCATTTATCAGAAAATAAGAATATTTTAAACACATTACATAAACCACTCACCTCGATAACTCGAATCTTTGGCAAGACAACCTAACTAACAAGATCAACACATCAAAGTCCAACTCTAAACTCTCTTTCTTTCTACATGAACACCAACACTGCATCCTGCCTTATTTCCATAAAAAATGGAGTGAAGCTCCTATTTATACTAGTAGGAAACGGTAAGCACAAGACTCTAATTGGTTGGTTTGGCGGCTAGACAATGGTGGCATGCAAGGTGTCAATCAAATAAGGAGGAAATGATACAGTGCATCCACCTAAGGCTATTTGAAGCCACATCCAAGTTATAGCTTGGAACACTCAGCAACTGGATTTCTTATTCACTTCTAATACATCACACTACCTCATATTGCATGGCCTTTTTAAGCCACCTCCTGTAACCTACGTGGCTGCTAAAGAAAAAAAGATAATAATTTAAAATGGGACATATTATATGATAATTGATCGCTACCTGCATAATGTTTAACTATAGTTCATCCTAATAACTCTAAACAATATATAAAATTATGGGATCTCACACATTTCAAGCCATTTTTTAGCCAAATCATGGCAAGCTAGCCATCGAGAAAGGAACAATTCTCTTCATCTCGTCGAGAAGTATGATTTTCATTTTTAAATCACTCAATTTCGTTGAGTATTGAAGAAGTTGAACGTTTAAAGTTTACCAAGTTTTTGGTGACCTTCGAGGCTTTCAAGACATTTTTCGATCAAATCACAGTAAGTTAGCCATCGAGGAGGGTACCAATCTGTTCTTTTCGTCCTGAGGTATGATTTTCGTAATTGAATCACTCAATTTCGTTAAGTATTGACAAAGTTATGGACGTTTAAAGTTTGTCCAATTTTTTGGCCAATTACCCATTTTCCAACGGACCAATCACCTTTCAGGCGAGATTCAGGCCATCTCCGGCCACCATTGGACTTTCAAATATGTATAATCTTGTTCTATACTTTCCTAGCTTCGTTTTGATATTTATGGGTTGAATTTGGTTAAGAAATTGTAGGTGCTAGTCTTGTCCTAGATTGCTATAGGCAATTAGGACTTGTATGTGTTTTGCATAACGCCAGTCTTCACGTGATTGTAGTACTAGAGCGTAAATCATTATTACACCCAATCCTGTTCATGTCAGAGTACCTCTGCATGAACTCGTGTGTCTGGGAGTGACACCTTTATGCCAGAACACCGGTTCACAGTTTCAGGGTAACGAACAATATAAAAAATATCAAAAGTATGATATATGCGTTAATTAGTAGTGCGATTGATAGATTGATTAACAGTGACTACTTAGGCTGAAGAAACTAAATCTTGGAAACTTAGGAGTAAACTTTGTTGGAGAACAATAAACTTGTAGTTGTTTTAACCATATTTTCCACTTAGGTAACCATAACCACTTCGACCAGCCATCTTTCTGATCACCTCCATAAGCAAATATTAGTTTGAAGCACAAATTAGTTTCCTACAGTAAGAGCGAGTTGAGTATTGAGGAAGCTGTGAATACCTATTAACACGTGGCGCTATGAAAGGAAGTAGTATGATACGTTTCGAGGGCGTATACCTTTGGCGTCATTTCTCAAAATTTTACTTAGGATATCACCAAATGGTGGAGTGAAGTACACCATTGATCTACTTTCTTGTACTACACCTTTTCGAACGACTCCTTTGACATTTAGGAAACTTAGTTGCGAGAATTTACCACTTAGGAAATTACCCAAGCAAACACCTTACTAAGGGAACCTCAAACCTACCCGCGAAGGTAAAAGGCCGAACCTTAGTTCGTATCTAGATTTTAGCAACTCAATGGGGTGACAACTAAAATCGTTAACCTCAACTTCGAATTGATGGTCTACCTTACCAACCTTTTGAGCCCATTTTTCTTCTATAGCCTGATGAATTCATAGTAGTCTTATAGATGATTTTCTCACCTACCTTAGCGACAAGATTAAATTTTCAAAACACCAATAGCCAGCTTTATACTAAATTCCTCAAATATTACCTTTGTTTAGATAAGTACTTTTCTTGGAAGACGTGATCTCTACAGACGACATTCTTGTCAATTTCCGAAAAGGTTCCAATTGTAGAAAATTTCATATTCCACAAATCGTTGTGAAATATGCCATATCCTTTGCCTTGTTGATTTTATTAGTAGTTTGTTAGTGACTTTTCAGTAGTGGTGTATTTCCTTTCATGTTGGCTGAGGAAAAATCAATTTAGCTAAGACGTGGAATATGATTTAAGTTGTGACAACTGAGGTGTTGTCTATTAACTACCCTTGTTCGTACACCTTTCGATAACATCAAGAATTTTGAAATCCACGATGACGTATTTCTGTATATTTTGGTTGTGTACTATTGCAACATGGCGGAGTATCGCTTGTGTTTTCAACAGTTGGAACCATATGAAATGAACCATCTTACTCATGACCTTGAGTTAACAATTATCATTCTTACTTGAAAAACCAGATGACACTTCTCTGTGGAGAAACGTGTCCAAAATCTTTACCAACCTCACAAACTTCTCAAATACATCTTCATTTAAAAGGAACTAGATTTCTGACTGTGGCGATGGAAAAGCCAAATCAATGTCTAGAATTGCACCATCATGTGTTATCCTGATTGTGCAAACATAATTATCAGTTACCACAACTAAAGACATACCTACCCTTGGAACACTTTCAGCATGTCCTACCTCATTATAATTAGAATTCATGAGAGTAGATATGACGTTACCTACAAACCATCAAGAAATCATTCGAGTGGTTATAATCACTTCCTGTATCCAAATGGAGATGGAAAAATATCACCCTAAGCTCCTTGTATGAGATATCTTGCCCATGTGGAGATTATGGTGATGTTTCGGTGGCTATCGACCGGCTTGATAAGCTAACTCACTTTTCATTGGTCTAGAGGGACTACGTTTAGACCGCTTGGTAAAATTCATCAATCTTGAAATTATTAGATTTTCTGACGTTTCGACCAACATCTACTCTGATTATGATTCCATATTCACCTCTTTGTGCCAGAAGGCATTCCAATCAGCCTTGGGTACGTGTCTACCCTATACTACTTCATATTATTTCTGGGGCGGACATACTGTTTAGGAAAATCGCTCGGATGTCTAATTATTAGTTTTGACCATTAATGCTTCAATCACCCAACAAATACTCTGCTAAACGAATCTTTTATGTTGGTGATTGAATATTCTAGAAGCTACCGTTGTAGCAAGATGTTATACATTAATCTAGTTACTTTGTATTCTAGATTGTTGGACTTGTTTTGACTCTCAAATTCCAGATTGTTCTTTTAGCCTTCTCGACATAGTTTTTCACTCATTCGAGAGAAATTCATAATGAATCTACTAGCCAAGGCATATGTGAATTACAATGTTCAGTTGCATATTGTGCATGACACTACTGTATCTCACTGTGATGCGTGTTTCACTTCCAAGTCTTGGGAAGCCTTCTTGAAGGCCATGTGTATTAAATTTTGTCACATACTACATTTCACCCTTAGACTAACGGTCAGTCTGAATGAACTATCCGGACCTTAGAGAACATATTGCTTTTGTATGTTTTATAGTTTTAGCCGATTATGTAGACACCTATCTCCGCTTATGTTGCGTATGACGATAGTTATTATTCTGGTTTGGCTATAATACTATTTGAAATTTTGGGGATGAAATTTTTTTAAGGTTGGTAGATTATGACAACCCGTCCCTAATTTTACGATTTTATAAAATTTAAAAGCATGAATTGGCGAAAATGCCCTATATGCAAGATTATTGACTTTCATTGACCTTTAGTTCATGACGCGTATGAGCTATTACTTTACTGTACTCCCGAAGTACTTGACGGTACGAACATGTAGGCGCAAGTAGAATCAAAATTGGAGCTACGATGAAGATTTTACAAAACTACAAATCCGAGAAATACCATTGTGAAAAAATACTATTTTATATTATATATATATTTTTTGAAATTATCATATTATTACTTTATTATTTTAACATTTTATGTTTGGATATTTTGAATATTTATTAATTTATATTTGGCCCGTGGGGCCCACACATCCCGAAACTCCCCACTCTCTCCTTGCCAAGTTTCCTCTCTTCCACCACAAACCGGGACTCTTTCTCCTCTCTATTCTCTCCCGTGTCTCTCACTCTAGCACTTTCCTCTCTCTATAAAACCACCGGTGCTAAGACCGGAGCATCACCATCACCACCACCCAAACCAAGAGCACCATGAGCTTCGTCTCGTCCTCACGAACCCATAACACCTAACCTTACCTCGAACTTCCTTTTGGATCGTCGAGATCAAAACCCAAGCGAGCCATGACCTTTCAGGCCATTTTCTAGCCAAACCATAGAGCTAGCAGGCGAAAAAGGTACCATTCTCTTCGTCTCGTTGAGAAGAATACTTTTCGTATTTGAATCACTCGATTTCTTTGAGTATTGAAGAAGTTATGAACGTTTAAAGTTTACCCAGTTTTTGACGACCTTCGAGGCTTTTTATGACCAAATCACGGCTAGTCAGCCATTGAGAAGGGTATGAATCTGTTCGTCTCAGTATTGACAAAGTTATAGACGTTTAAAGTTTATCTAGTTTTTCGACCAATTACCTAGTTTTTGACATACCAGTCACCTTTCAAGAAAGATTCAGGCCATTTTCAGCCATCATTGAACTTCCAAATAGGTATAATCTTGTTCTACACTTTCCTAGCTTCGTTTTGATTTATTATGGGTTGAATTTGGTTAAGAAATGAAGAAGTTATGAAGCTTTGAAAATTGCCCAGATTTCCGGCCAAAAACCCAGTTTCCAGTAGATTTTCCGGGGACCGGGTTGACCCTACCCAAACAAAAAATAAATAAAAAAATCCAACCAGGATCTGAATCCGAACCCGAGATCCCTCCCAAGCCCAGATCTGGCCCAAATTCATTTTGAAATTGGAGAAGAATATTCTTGGAATATTCTCTATGTTGACTTTTATGAAATTTTCTCGAAAACCCTCCTAGGCTAATTTTGACGCCCCGAGTCCGTTTTTTGACATCCATTTATTGAAATTCTAAAGTTTTAACGTAGTTGACCGCTGGGGCATCTTGGTTGGCTTTTT